CATGTGTGGGTTATTTATTTTGACAGTACCACGGTGCATGTGCGGGTTAGTTATATACCACAGATTGTGTGTGTGGGTTAGTAGGCCAGAGTTGCCTTTTGTGTTTCTCTGTTTAAGTACCACGGTGTATGTGTGGGTTGGTTATACCGGTGCCACAGAGTGTATGTGTGTGTGTGTGTTAGTAGGCCAGAGTTGTCTTTTCTCTGGTAGTTTGTAGACTGTTTTTTTTTGTCCTATCTTAAGTCCCCTGTTAATGGTTATCTTTGTCTGTCGGATGTCAGAATGTTGACATGAAATAAATAATATTATCACTATGCGCGAGATAGGAGGACCCTGGGACTCGCCTCCAGAAAACTCTAGAGCTTCCCCTATTTTTAGAGTTATTATAAAAATCTTACGGATTTTTTAGTTGAAAATATGGCTGAAATCTTTGGACACGCGGAGTCCACACTTCACGGGAGTCTGCAAATATGAGGGGGGGGGGGGGTTAAAACTCTAAAAGCTAACGCTTTGAGTACATATTTAGTAAAAGTACAGTGAGTCCTCGCAACTTGACCCTGACTGTCACAGAAAAGCAATGAGACAGTTATCGAGTGTGCATCTCTATCGGCCAATCAGATGGCCGATAGGTTCTCTGCCGATCCGACCTTATATTGGGTATGTACCTTTTTTTCTCCTGGTGTTACAGACTTGAAACACACCGTATTTGTACCTATTTTAGTGAGGATTCGTGCGGCCTTATCGACGTCTAATAACTCTTTACACTTGCGTTCAGTTGCGCTAGTCATGGTTGTAGGCTTGTAGCTTTGTGTATATTAAAATCTGTGCGCCTATATTTGTAACATTATGAAATACCGAGTTCTTTTGTGATAAAGAAGTAGAAACCAAACGTCTGTGTTGCTATGACTGCGTGCCTATAAAGTATATGATAGAAATAGGAGAGCGTGTGATTGATATCGAGCGTATAATATTGTTTTCATACCAATTGAAATAATCTTTTGTATAAAACACTAAATGTATACTAGCCTAATACTACATACATAGCTAAAAAATCATGGCTCCATGCGAATGAAAAGGCACCTCTATCGAAGTGGACAATTAAAAAGTGGACAGGTTGCGAGAACCGACTTACAAGTTAAAGCTTTCAGTGATAATATTTATATGATCAATTTGATCTGTGAGATCACATGCTCGTTCAAATTATTTCATATATACGAGGCAAGACATGTATATGTTACATCTATGAGTTAATGTGTATTGTAAGTATTCAAAATACATACATATTTTAACAAACAATGTCGAAGACGTACGCTATCATCGGTACAGGCGGGGTGGGTGGGTTCTACGGCGCACAACTGGCACGCATATGACGTACAGTGCGCTTTCTATTTCGAAGTGACTATGAGCATGTGCGTAAGCAAGGGTTGATAGTTAATTCAGCACTTGAAGGTTTTGCTATAGACAGCACTGATATCAACGCGTTCCGGTGAGTATGTCCCGGGTGATAAACTTGAGTTTATATTTAAATATTAGGACATGTCATTATATATATATATATATATATATATATATATATATATATATATATATATATATATATATATATATGAATATGTATATATGTATATATATATGCATTTCTTCGGTGAGCGTGACATGATCATGGCTATTAAGTATTACGTTGGAGGACATATGCAACAATATGCGTAAGTGTAGCGTAATCAATGGGCGCATGGCAGTCATGTATTTACAACATCTTCGGGACAAATAAATAGTGTCTTGGCGTGATAGACATGAGTATAGAACTCAAGGACGTATACAACAATATAGATGACTATGTATATATATATATATATATGTATATATATAAATATATGTGTGTGTATGTGTATGTGTATATATATATATATATGTGTGTGTGTGTATGTATGTATGTATATACTCTATATATATATGTGGGGAAGGGGGGGTGTATTTGATCGTGTGTATGCATTTGTTGGTGTATTTTT